TCTCAGCAGCCTCCTGGACAATGCTGGCCTGCGCTGTGCTCTGTCTCTCAAGTCGTGCTGACTTCCCTGACTCCCAAACAGGTGGCCCGTGATTACAGGAAGGATTCTCATTAGGCAGGTCTAGCCTTTTGACTCACTCTCACTACTTTAAAAGTTGCATTTGGCATGTGAATCTACTGTCGGTGCCGTGCTGGTCATGAGCCTCTCTACGGAGGCTCCTTTCTCAGCCTGCATTTTTCTGCCCTCCTAATGCCTCATCACCTTACAGGTGCAAGGTGTCGGCTCGCACTGACTCCTGGACCAGTGGCAGGTATCTGGGAGGGTCACCGCCTCAGTGCAGGTGTTCTTGGCTCCTCCTTTCACTCGCTGGTCAGCAGCTTCACATTGCCTGGTGCCACCTTGCTCCCTGTGGACCAGGTGCCCTCAGGGTGCAGCCCTGTAAGCCTTCCCTGCGGTGCTGGGTGCAGCTCTCTGGAGGCAGTTGTGCAACAGACAGGCTCCAGCCGTCTACTTGTAGTAGCTGCGGAGACGCCCGAAGCTCTCTCCAGAGCCAGGCACACAATAGCGCACTTCAAGTGTTGGGGGATTAGAGACTTTAGAAGGTGTTTAATTTTCCCCTCACTCTTTCTTGCTCCCTGTCTCTTTAGAGAGGGAACAAGAGGGCCGTGTGAACATTAACTGGGACTTTCTTTAATCTCCCTGTAGCACTTAGTGCAGTCTGGGTCTGCTGGCTGCCCAGGCTCCCACCTTGTGGGCACAGGAGCACACCGCACCACAGACTCGCACCCCAGGGCTGTGTTCCCCACCTCCTAGGGCTAGGTTTACTCTCTTTTCAACTCAAATTTTGCAAAATGTTATTATTTTTATTTTGATGAATGGGGACTAAGTTGTAGTTAGCTAAAGTAAGAAGTCTGGGTTCAGTGGCCAGTGGGGTGGTGATGGGAACCGTGGTGTGTGGCATGTTGTAAAGAGCTGTCACCATGAAGAAACAACAAGCGTGTGAAGAGATCCGTGTGTTTGTCCTTATTTAAACATTACACAGTGTACGTGTATCAAAACCTCACGTGGGGCTGGGACTGTAACATGTAGCTCAAGAGGCAAAGTGCTTGCCTGGCTCTGGGTTTGATGATGAGCAACACATAAAAATAAATGAAATAAAGCCATCTGTCCATCTACAAGTACAAATTTTTTTTTTAAATCTCACATGGTTCCTATAGTTTCCTATAATTTTTGTTTTTATGTATCAGTTTAAGAATAGATATACATTAAAAAGAAACAAGACCTAATAAAAACCTTTTTAATTTTCTGAAAGGAACAACTATAAAACATAGATTTTGTGCTTTTCATTATGTCTGAAGTCCTGAATAGTAGAGCCCAGACGTTCCCATTGGAAGTTGGGACAAGCCACAGGACCCTTGCGCTGCATGCTCTACAGGCGGAGGGCCCCTGGCTGGCCATGCTTACTGGGGAAGCAATGGTTTTTACCTGCTGCCCAGGACAGTAAGTGGTTCCCGGGACTCTGATCAGGTGAAGTCCTCCTAAGGACAGAAGGTGGACAGCATTGGCTCCAGAGAGGGCATCACGGCCTGAAGTGGCCAGTGCTTGGCTTGCTGGTGTTCCTCTGTGGACTCAGGGTCCTGAGGGGCTGCTCCAGGGCAGTCTGTGCCCCCACCCCAACCCTCCACTCCTTGTGCTGGCAGCAGGGTCTGGGAGAGGTGCCTTTCTCCTGGTCTTGGTGCTGCTTCCGCAAGGCCCTGCATGCCAGGTAACTTGTCCTGGAGTGGGACGCTGAAGACCGAGCTGTGAGCTGCGGCTCTCCGCCACATTCTTCTGTGCCCCTTTTCCCTTACATAGACGGTGGGCACCACGTCCTTCTCTTCTGCAGAAACGAACTACCCAGCATTTTAAGGATGAATTGAGGATAAATACCATTCTAACAAGTGTTTTCACAGAATGTGATAGAGGAGCTCCCTCTTGCCCTCCGCAGGGGAATTCTGGGGTTGCTCATCTTGGACTTTTCATTCCTTGTCTCAGTGGCATTAGCTTCTTCTGACTCAGTCCTCCAGAGCCCCGACTCGGGAACCGCTCAGAACCAGAGGGCAGAGCACAGCCAGTGTAGTGCTATGTGCCTCCACAGCCCTTCTGCGGGAATGGAGGGGGACAACTGGCCTTTGGCACTGCTGTGTGGGCTTCCTGGCGTCATGCTGGGACAGAGGACAGGCAGGCGGATAAGACAGCAGTCTTGTCTCAAGCGGTTCACAGGCATGAGGGCAGAGGAGAAATCCCGACAAGTAGTCATAGCTTACATGATTTCCACAGATGAGAATTGAGCTTGTCACTGTGAGCCAGGAACTAGACCTGGACAGGGTGTTGTGCTGTGGAAGGGAATTAGGTGTGGCTCCTGCAGGAGCTCGCAGGCACAGGGCACATTAGTGCAGCACAGCGTGGCATTAACTCCTAAAAGAATGCTCTGGAATCCATGGCAGGAGCTTCTAACCCAAGCTGTATAGCAGAGTGCTGGGACTCTGAGGGACGCTTGCAGGAGGAGGGGCACTCACCCCAGCTTGCAGGGAGGGGAGCAGGTGAGTCCCGTCTGGGGACATGGCTGCTCTGCCCTGCAGTGGAGGTGGTTTGTGACACACAGCTCTGGGTGGTGGCAACCTTCTCCACAGCCTCTGCATCTGTCACTGGCCGTGGCCCTGCTGGTATCGCTCCTCTGCCACTTAGCCAGCCAGCCCTCAGTTTCAGCAGCTCAGAGCATTGAGGGAAGCTCCTTTTGCTTGTTTTCAGTTATACTTTGTGAAGAACCAGTAAGTTTCAGAAAGAAGAAAATGTTTTGTTTGTGTCATTTCCAGTTAGTTACGTGCATGAACCCAAACCTTTTGGTCTTACACATTTTCTTACCTAAATACACCCCTTTTTCGACAGAAAGTGAGGAAACCAATGTGCATAGTGATGGTGTTGTCCTGAGTGCAGAGGTTGATAAAGCAGATAATTTGCTCAGAAGCTTATTCACATGTTGCAAATATCTGACACCTGGGAACATTATTTTTATTTTCTATAATAGCACAAAATTGAGATTTGGTGATTGCAGAAAAGAGGAGAAGATTCGATTTAGACCATGTGTATTTAAATGTTTATATAGATTCTATCTCGGGGGTGGGGGGGGGAAGCAACCTTGTAAAGGACCCGGGCTTTATTATGAAGGAGAACAGACAAATGGCCAGTGGAGAACATTTCCTACTAAAGTGGTGACTAAGTATGGGATCAGCATCCGGAGGGCACCAGCAGCCCTATCCTGTCCCATCTGGAGAAGGTCAGTCATTTATACCCACAGTGGTTTCAGTGACGAACCTTCAATGGCCTTCGGGTCATGCACTTTACAGTCACTGGCTGGGCCTCTGCTTTGCACCAGCTCTGTGTCCAGACCACAGGCCCTCAAACATGAGCTCAGCCTGTGTGGAGGAGCCAGGAGAGGCAGCCAGGGAAAGGGCTGTGATCCACATGTTCCAGGTCAGGTGGGGCTCAGCAGGGATGCAGATCCTGTTGGGTTGGCTCAAGGGACTAGGTGAAGTGACCCTTTAAAACCCAGAGATTCTCCTCAGCCTGCAGCTGCCCCTGCTCCCAACATCTCAGTGGTCTGACTGCAGTAGCGGAGTTCAGCTTTTCTATTTTCTATGAAATTATTGAACCAAAGAGAAAAGAGTTGGATTTTTTTTTCCCCCTTAAATGCTACAGAAGGAGCTGCTGGTTTTGTGACCATGGAAGCCTTGTCTCTGGGCTGGGGAGGCTCCACTCCCTCGCTGCCAGGTTCCTTGCCTAACACAGACATGCAATGGACCTTGCCCAACACAGGGACCTCAATGGACCCACCTAGTAACACCCCCCCACCCCAGGAAGGCCTTGCTTTCCTGAGCCTCTTCTGATCACCAGCAGGGAGGCCTCTTTCCTTGGAAAAACTAGGATTCCACCCCAGGTTCTTTGTCATTCCCTTTGGACCAGGGTTCAGGCCCACTGGGCAAGCTCATTGACAAGTCTCTTATATGTCTCTGGTTCTGCCACTGAAAACAGGTCCCTAGAGCTGTCTCCATGGGGTCTGTTATAGAAAGACATGTGGTAGCTGTGTGCTGTCTTGAGGGCTGCGCAGCTCCTGGCCACTGAACCAGATTCCTTGGCAAGTCAAGTGGGTGCTTTCATCATACAAGGTCATTACGTAAAGGTTCATTGAATTTCTGTTTGTTGGCGACAAAGAGAAACTTTCATCTGCATCTTCCGAGCTGTGCTCAGTTCAGGGTAGGACACCGAGCCTTAGCTTTCGAGAGCAGGAGTGTTTAAACTAAATCCAGCAAGTCCTTGAGGGCGTCTAGTCTCCAGAACACCAAAGGAAGGAAATTCCACAGTCACTCCTCCAAATCAGTTCCTACTGATAACAGGGCTTACTTTAAGCAGGATGGTTTTCCTGTCTGACTCTGACCAGGTGTCTCTGTGGCCAGGTCTGTAGGAGTCTTCTTTACCTAGTGACTCAGCGTAACTACCAACAAAGGTGTGTGAGTGTGTGTGTGTGTGTGTGTGCGCGTGCGCATATGCACCTGCCTGAGGCCCGTGTGTTCTAGAGTTCATGAACCTCAGCCCTCTGCTCTGAGCCTTTGCTTCCTCTTGCACTCATTCATCCCTCCTGAGTGGGCACCTCCAGGTGCCACCTGGACGTCACACTTGCTGGGCACATGTGCACATGTACCTGTTCTGTCGTCTTCTCCTTTTCCACTTGGGATTTGTGTCCTGGTCACGTGTTCTGCTTGCACCTCCTAACTGTGTGTTCTGGCTGCATGTCCTGGTCACATGCCCGGCTGTATATCCCAGTGGTGTGTCCTGGCCACATGTTCCAGGAGGGTTGTAGGTGCCTGTGGTGGCAGGGTGCTTGTGCTGTCCACTCCCCACCAGCTTTCGTGTGCACTTACACAACAGCAAAGCCTGTACCATATTCCTTCACTCGGCTCCAGTTCTGACTCAGTGGGTGGTATACGCTGTCCGCAACCTCACTGAGGACAACAGCCAGAACCAAGATTTGATTGCAAAGATGGAGGAGCAGGGGCTGGCGGACACATCCCTGCTGAAGAAGATGGGCTTTGAAGTTGAGAAGAGGGGGGAGAAGCTGATTCTGAAGTCCACTTGTGACAACCCCCCTCCGGTAAGTGGCTGCATGTGAGCTGCCCTCCATGCAGTTACAGACAGCTGTTCCTATGCCCCAGGACCTTGGCACCACAAGGTCCTTGGTGAGGAGGGAGGTCTCTGACCCGGTTGCCAGAGAGCCCCAAGTAGAGCTGCAGACCACTTTGGTTCAGCCTTTATGTTGCTGTTTTCTTAAAAGTTAAAATTTCAAACTTGCTTTGGAGGAGAAATATAAAAAGTAGATTGAAATTTATACATCTCTAAAGAAAGTTTCTGGCAGAAATTAGGCGTTTTCTTTAAAAGACGGCTAACATTCACTGCTGTTAAAGAACAGGAAGCCCCTTGTGCCATCTGAACGAGATTCTGCGGGTTTATCCCTGTGGATTATGATCATTGTCCAGACGCTGCCTGTCTTTCCTTTGTTGTTAGTTCTTGTAAATAGACTTGTTATATCTTTGATTGTGTTTTTTTTTCCTTAGTGAAAGAACTCTCCATCCAAACATCTGAATTTTCAGAGTCTGACTTGTGGATGTTCCTCTCCACGATACGTGAAACTGCAAGTGTTTGAAGATGTGTAAGTGTGAACCTGGGAACTCTGGTCTTGTCGGTAGCAGAGTTCAGTGGTGTCAGCCACCATCAGAGTCCTCAACTTCCCCCTTTTCTTTGCATTACGCGTAGCTGTCTGGCCTCCCTTGTCCCCGCGTAGAATGTGTGTTAGTGTCACCTTGTGCATACTGTGGCAGCAGATAATAAAGCTCTGAGGGCACCGCCCTTCCTTGGCAAAGCCTGGCCGTTTGCTTGGATTCCGCGCCCCCTCAGATGGCAGGCAGCTTTGCTCCTCTCCTCCCTCCTCTCCTTGGGCTTCCTGAACTCTGGCAGGCAGTCAAAGTAGGTTCTCACTGGGATTAATTCTAGCAGTCTCTTTTCACCCCTTCTGCCTCTCCAAACATTGACAAGACTCATTTCCAGTTAATTAATTCAAGAGCCCTCCCTTTTGGTTTCAGCTACTGTGCTGTCACCGAGCCCTGTCCTTTGGAATGTAGGGAGAGGACGTGAGGGTGCTTAACTCCTCTTGTGCCAGAGCGTCCTGGGTTGGGCTCACCCTTTGTGCCCTCGTGCTGGAGGAAGGGCCAGTGCACACTCGGCCCAGCGCACAGTACCGGGACATGGAAGGGCCATCTCTGTCTTCAGACTTGCAATGCCACTTGGTTTTAGCGGCAGCTTTGTGTAGATTGCACATGATTTTAGAGGAGCAAGAGTTTATATGACATCTGTCCATCTGCCTATGTCTGTATACTCGTGTATCGGAAGTAGAACTGGAGTAAGTAAGGCAAGCCCCTCGACCACCCGCCTCACTCATTTTGTTGCCTCATGCACTCCTGCAGGGCTTGCCGTGGCGCCAAGCACATACTCTTGAACAGCTATGTTACCAAGCTGAAAATCCAGAGATTTTGCACGATGCGTGTTGAAACTCCCCAAGTAAGAACAACAAAGACCCAACCCAAAGTTTTACAGAAAATATTGATTGCTCCAAAATAAAGTTATTCCAGGTTTCTTTGTGCTGAACTTAAAGTGCTTTGCAGCAGCAGCTGGAGCTGTTGATGGTGCAGTGACGGTTTTCCCATGTGCTACCAAACATACTCTGCAGCTGTAAAGGGACTATCTAGGAAAGACTTTTTCTCTCTGTGGTGACATTTTATTTGCAAAGAAGCCATTGCCACATTTGAAATGCACAAAGAGGTCACTCTCTTGTGGGACATCAAGAGTTAAAATCTAGTTCTCTCCATGAAGGCTGGCCAGAGAGCCAAGCAGCAGGAGCCCATTTTCCTTTCAGTAAGTGGCCTAGACTCTCCTTTCTCCTCTCTCAATGGCTGTGTGCACCCAGTGGAATCACACAGACGTGGGGTGTGAGCCGCACAATAACAGACCCAGGAGATAAAAGGAGCCTTGTGAGGATGCAGAATGGGGGTGGCTGTGTGTTTTCTAAATAGGAAATGTGAGGCTTTCACAGTGACAACAGGCTGGGGCCGTGGGGCCCTTTGATCCCTGTGGGGAGTGAACTGTTGAGGACAGCCGCCTGCGCCCCCACCCTCCAGTGGGCCTGGGGCTCTGAGAGCCTTGCTGTGTTCCATGCAGAGGATTAGACCACCTCAATCAGCCCCTTAGAAGCGAAGAAAGCAGACCAGCCTCAAAAATTTGTAAAGCGGCAGAATGGTCACAGCGAGTTTTGTGACCATATTGTTTTCAAGAGCAAACCCACAAAGCCTTGGGCAGCTTCATTTTAGAAGATGGGGAAGAAAGGCTTCTCTGCTGGGTGGTGAAGCAGAATGGTCATTTTGTAACACCAGATAAGACTTCAAATTCAATTTTCGCTGTGCTGTTAGAATTTGTCCTAGTGAGTACATTTCATGGTTGCCGGGGTTATTTAGGAACTCAGATCAAGGTGCATATTTTTTATTTCATAACTTTGTGATCTAACCATGGTTGTTTTTTGCAAAATGGCATCTAGAGGAGTGACTGAGGTGGTCGGTGGACTACCAGTTAGCAAGTTTTAAATCAAAAATTAATGTTTTATGTGTGTGTCTTATGTCTGTTTTTTTTTTTTTTCGAAGTCATTAATGTGCTGCTCTGATCAAACAAATTGGCATTTATTTTGTTCAAATGACTTTCTACTATCCTTTCATTTCTGTCCTTAAGTGAAAAAAATGTTCAGTGCTATGCTTTGGCAGAGGAAAGCCTTTAAGTACCATCCCCAGTGTCTGGCTGTGCACCCAGAGCAGCAGTGCTCACATGTGAGGCCACAGGGTGGAGGCGAGGGCCTTGCTATCTGGGTCCACTAGAAAGCTGGTTTCTGGGAGCCTCGCAGTGCTGTCCAGGGTTCTGATCACCTCAGTCACCCCAGCCTGCGCACAGAAAAGCAATTCCAAATCTTTCCTTCAAAACTCAGGGATTTTCTCCCTTGACACACACACACAATATGTGTTTTCCTCTTCCTTATACATTTTTGTGTATTTACTTGGGATTTTTAAGTCAAGTAGGTGCACCATTTTGTGATATGAATTTTCCATACTCTCTACAATATACAAATAGACTCTCAAGCCCAGTGCCTTCTGTAGCCTGGGTGGGTATGGGTCAACTCCTTCACTAGCTTTCCTCCTGCACCCAGACGTCTCTGTTCATAGAAATGACTGTGGAGGTTTTTGTTTCTTGGTACTGGGGAATGAACCCAGGGATGTTCTACCACTAAACCACACCGCAGCCTATTTTAGTTTAATTTTGAGACTGGATCTTCCTGCGTTGCTCAGGTCAGCCTATAAGTTGCAATCCTCCTGATTTGCTAGGTTGACAGGCATGCACCACCGAGCCCAATCACTTTGGAGGGTTTTTGTTTCTGTTTTGTTTTGGTTGGGGGTGGTACCGGGAATTGAACTCAGGGACACTCGACCACTGAGCCACATCCCAGCCCTATTTTGTATTTTATTTATAGACAGGGTCTCATTGAGTTGCTTAGTACCTTGCCATTGCTGAGGTTGGATTTGATCTCATGATCCTCCTGCCTCAGCCTCCTGAGCCACTGGGATTACAGGCTTGCACCACTGTACCCAGCTTGGAGGGTTTTGATAATTGTTTTATTCTCACTTAAAACCTTAAATTAGAAACATTTCTTTTTGATTAAATAGCATACTATATATTCTTTGTTTGCTCACAAAGTTGTATTATGTTAATTTTGCATCGTGTAAGGAAGAACTCAGGTTGTGTGTTGGAATGTGGGTACAGGTTTACCACCATTTTGTACACAGCACAGGGGCCACATACAAGCACTCTGAAGCTGGGGTCCATGCTCTGTCGCTTGCACAGCCCTGGGCAGATTCCATGAGCTCTTTGCCTTTGGCTTCTTCTTCACTCAAAATGGGGCTGATGGGACCACCTTACCTTAGCATGGTGTAGTGTAAAAAAATTATCCGTGTAGAGTGCTTAGTTCTAGTATTGATCCCACTGGGTGGACGAAGAAGTGGAGTCTCAGAGAAATCAGCACTAAGGTCACACGTAACAAATGCTTAATGGCTGGTTGATTGCTACAGTTAATTGGAAAGAAATGAGTGAGGGGAAAAATGGCTGCTTTTCCCAGAAGCATACAAAGTGAGTGTTGCAGAAGTGCCTGGAGTGCCACCTCGGTAGAGAGCAGCGCGGGGAGCGGGAGGATGTGCCGAATCTAAATCTCGGCTCTCCTCCTTGCCAGCTGAGGGACTGTAAGCAGGTTGCTTAACCACTCTGAGCCCAGGTTTCTCCCCAGCAGTGTCCCAGGCCTTGGGGATATAGCAGAGGACGCTGTAGAGTCCACACCCACAGGAACTCACCTTCTGCCGAGGTGACTGAAAGTCCACAAGGTGGGATGAAAACGAGAGTATTGCTGCTGGAGCAAGCAGGTGAAGACGAAGCTGGCAGCAACGGCAGTCTTTGTTGCCTCAGGCACACCTGAGCAGAGGCCAGCGGGCGTGCGGGCCCAGGGAGCAGCGAGAACCTGGGACCCGGGCACAGTGGCTTGAAACTGGCCAGACACGCAGGTCTACAAGGCCCCGAGTGACTGGACGGTACCTAAAGCGTGTCGTGGTGCTGGGCAGTGCAGCCGAGGGGGGCAGAGCTGTGCTGCGGTTCCCACTGTCACTCTTGGTGAGGAAGAAGAATCAAAGTGGGAAAGTGACGAAGGGCCACTGGTGGTGGGGCCGTGGCCCCTGAGAAAGATTTGAACAGCTGCGCGCTGGAGGAGAATCCACAGAAACTGCTCCGGGCTCACGGAGGTGAGGGTGAGTGGGTCCGCAGGAAAGCCCCTGAGATTGTGTTGAACTGGGCAGATTTCCTCTTCACAGAGGTGGAACTTCAGCGTGAAGAGCAGTTCTTAGGTGTGAGTTGGCTGCAGCAGGGAGCATCCACAGTTCCACTTGGGGCAAATCAAGTTTGGGGTGCTTCTGTGGCATCCGGATGAAGATGATCTTGACTGTAACTGCATATACAAGCTGAGCCCAGAGGACAAGTCAGTGCTGGAAACGCCGTGTGCAGCCGTGGAAGTGAACAGGCTCATCCAGGGAGAGCATGGGCCATTTGGGGAGAGGCCTGGGCTAAGCCTCAGCCTGCATCTGCACTTCCAGGTCAACCTGCACAGAACACACAGTGTGTGTGTGATTGTGCATCATGGGCTTGCCTGTGCCCTTCTCATGTCCTATCCCTTACTGTGGTACACGCTGCCGTGAAGACCCCAGTACATGGAGCTTACCTGTGTTTTAAGTTGCATATACATGAGGTCAAGGAAGGAAGATGTGGCTAGAGATTTTCTCAGCAAAGTGTTTATATTAGAAAAGAAAGGGCCCTTCCAAATCCCAGTGGTGATTGTCAATGAGGGTAGTTAGTAATTCTGACCAAACCTCACCGAAGACAACTGAAAACAGGCCAGGATTTTTAAAAACCACCGTCTGAAGGCTTGGAGCACTAGCAGGGCACGCAGGGCCTTGAGGAGCCCCTCTTTCTATACTTGGGATGCCAGAGGGCTGCGCTAGAGCACTTGTGAGCCAGCACAAGCTCTGCATTTCTGATTATTCAGTCCCAGAGATTGTGAAGTGGCCCTGGTGTGTGGTGACATCTGGTGTTGCGGCCTCTGTCCCAGGTAACAGGCAACATAGTAAGTCCTGTGGGAGAAGACAAGCCCTTGGGTCCTAAATTAATTTTTCATGTGACAGAATCCAGTGCAAATTCCTGAGCTGGAAAAAATGAAAAATATAACCAAAAGTG